ACAACTGGACTGTGTTGCTGGTTGTTTATTATTGAAATTTATCGCCAACAAGTCGCAGACACCGACTGTAAAGAATCCGGCCTGACAGCAGCAATACAGCTTCGAGCTTCCAATTATAAGGTGTCAACAGAAGCCATTACATGCAACTATTTCAAGCCAAAAAAAACGCCAATGCTTCATCAGAAGAATGTATACTATGTAGAAAACGTTAAATACCATAAGCAGCTGCGCTATAATCATAATTTCCTTACATTACAAAAATGGGTGATTCGGCTGACCCCATCCCCCACACGTGGTCTTTTATTTAGGTTAGAGAATAAAGAGTTGTAAAGAAAGTAGTAAACCGCAGAAAAAAGTTGTACTTAAAACTGAATTGAAAATAGTTTGTCCAGTAGCTGAGAGAAATTAAAAGCACAATCAGCAGGCCCATCACATTATTCAAAAACACGCAAGTGAGACTTTCACAGTAAATTTTTTCTTCAAGATTGAATTAAATCTACTTAAAAATGCCAAACTGCTCTCACGAAATGATAATGACCAATCACATAAATTGCTTGAGTTGTGATGAACATATTAAACAGTAGTAATTTGTATAGTTTCTTAAGCTTTTTCAAAGAAGAATGAAAGATCTCATATGAGAGTCTGGTGAAACAAGTAAAATGAGGAGATTATTGGATACCATATCAACAATGGCATTTGATGTGGAGAAAGGACTGTCCAAGAGTAAAGGTTTGAAAGATGTTAGAGAAAGTAACTTACAAGAGAATCATCAGTGAGAATCGTACATCATCATTGCAACCAAAATTAAACTACACCTAATAGCCTGAAAAATAAGGATACAAGACTGTATCACCTTTTTTCCCAACTTACTGCCCTAGCTGTTGAGAGTTACCTCTCACTCCCAACCATAATAACTGGGTGAGAGTTCAACATCCCACGCTATGGTCAGAGATGTTACACATTCAGATGACATTTCCCTTTCCTCTGCAGCTAGAGTTTGCACCTCTGCCAAATATTAAATTTCTGCTCCACTTGCTTGAAAAATTGCATTGCCATGGCAATTCTGTTTGAGGCCATTCAAACATGAGGATTTTGTTGATGTGTGGCATCAAACTGCTCTCATCATGAAAAGGCTCTAGGCTGACCCAGGGCAATCACGTATGAGATATGATGGCAACCACGCTGCAGGAAGGGTCAGGTTGGTACATTTTTCTAGTGAAATCGAAGTGTGGGCTACAGTAGCACAGGCTGCCGAGCTATGGACTGTCCTAAAGTGTTGCAGCATAGCCACTGTCAGTAATCCATTCTCAGTCCCTTTCCACTGCTACCCTCAGCTTTACTGATCTGCATGAGAAATATTATCAACAGTTCTGGATAGACCAGACCAGTAGATGGGTAGAGCATAACGCTCTGGATTGCCTATGAAGTGATGGAGAACACTCAAAATTCATTAGAAGTATTCTCCAAGTCGGAAGTTCTCTGATCCAACCTTCAGATCAGTTAGGCTTTTCTTCTTTCCTCTGTTTTAGTTCTTGCCATAATGTATATACCTGTCTTAGAAAATATTTCAGAAAGGGCACAGGAGAGAAATAATTTGGAGTAAGTAAAGAAACAAATGAAATACTTCTGACTCAATAACAATTGTCACCATCAAAAAGCTGTCCAATCAAGATAAGCTCTGGCAATCAAGCTCATAATCTCTGCAACAATTAAAAATTTGAGTGTATGGAAGGATAGGTATAGCGATCCTTTGTGAAAGAATGGAAGAAATATAACTTGGTGTGAAGTGGAAGCAAAAATACACGCGTTAGATGATAAACACTAAAGCTTTGTAAATTTGCCTTTAAAAGGTGAGATAACTTTACAAAAGTTAAAATTGAAAAATTATAAAATTTGATAACATCATAATGCCATGTCAGTTTCGAATAGTTAGGTTTAGCTAGGTGTATGGGATCTGAGAGTTAGTAAAAACTTTTAACTACAACATTCATATCTATGTAAGTTCATGTTTACACATATTTATAGTGTGTGTGTGTATATATACATATATAGTTACGTAATATATCTAAAAGAATCTATATGTTTCTTAGCAGAAATTCCAGGCAATGTAATTTCAAGTTATTGTGGTGTAGTAAGGAGTTGTAAAGTAGGGGTGATTGGGTAGACATGCAGTTTTACGATGAGAGATTGAAAGTATAAGGTCCTGTTAGAAGCAGCTCCAACTCCCATGCTGCCAAAAGCAGTTCAATCTAGGGGTGTCTGGGAGCCTACCCCCAGAAAATTAATATAATTTACTGTTGATATATAAGTCAAATATGTAAAAGTGGGGTGATAAAGCACCCCCAGTTCTGATGCTTCTGTAAAGTTACTAGAGCATAATGCTAACAAACATGACAATGTGAATCAAATCAATTCATAAACATATTTTAAGCTGAAAAATACATAAAACATTTTCTAAATTCATCCTGGTACTTGCTGATATGCTCCCCAGTGGCACAGCAGTATGTCTGTGGATTTACAATGCTTAAAACCAGGTTTTGATACCTGTGGTGGGCAGAGCACAGACAGCCCATTGTGTAGCTTTGTGCTTAATTACAAACAAACTTTTTTGAGATAAATAACTCAAAGTTTTAATATTTTACAGGTAATTATTTATATCTAACACATTGTTCAGGACTTTATCAAGGGAAATTATTATATCACTTTAAAACATTAATTATATTCACTGATAAACATTTATATTCATGATATACAGATTAATGAGAATATTAATTTTCTGTTTGTAATATTTAAGTTTTTAAAAGTGTATTAGTGTTTATGGATATATTCATATATTAAATATGAAGTATTACATAAACACATGTATTTGAAGAAATATATTTAATGATTTATTGATATATATAAATATTACACAAAATTTCTATAGATATTCCGACTTGCGGTACAATATGTCCTTATTTATTACAGCATGAATTTGAATTTTTAACCTGAATGGCACTTTATGTATAGGTGGGCTTAATGGCTAAGCATAGATCCATAGGATACATGTACAATCATCGTTAATTTCGAAATAAAAGTAAGGAAGGGAGCCATCCAGCAACATCTACAACCACAAGGGTTTCTTCCAGCTCTTTGAATCAAAGAATGAGATTGACTGTTAATTTTAAAACACATCCACAGTTGAAAATGTGGGGCAAGTTCAACAGAATCATGTTTTGAACCCTGGATCCACAGCATTAACCACTATGCTGCACCCAACCCATTGAAACACAAGCATGTTTAAAATGAGTATTGATTATTTAGGTAATAAAAGTACAAGACAGTCTTTTTTGCAACTTGAAAAAACAAAAACAAAACTGGTATGAACCTTGTTTTCAAGTACACTTATCATCTAAAATAATAAGGCACAATAAATCGGTAGAAGTTTAATTTTGGTATAGTTTCTTAAAAACTTATTTTGAAAAATAATATTTAATTTTTATTTTTTTTAGAAGAGAAAGCCAAATTTTGATATTTTAGATAAAAAATACCATTTACATTAAAAAAAAATATATTTTTTTACACTCTAATGAGTCTCAATGAACTTTCTTGCCTAAAGAATCTTAAATCCAACACAAACCATTAGACACCCAGTTGACAGTATTTTTACACAAACAGCTAAGTGTACTGTTTTTGAGAAATAACAATGTTTTAAAGCCATTAATTCATTAGTTCTTCCTATGTAAAAGCCACATCATTCTTTTGGTATTACACTGAACAAACCATTATAACATGTTTGATCCAAATATCTGCATCAGAGCTACTAACTGCTCTAGTTTGTACTATAGTTGTCTGTTAATGAAGTAAAATTATTTAATTGGAATATATATTTTAATTCATTACATTTAAGCATTATATAGTTACACACAGAACAATCTAAGTTACAGTAAATTTTAAATTTCATATTTTTTATGTAACTACTACAAATAGTAAAAAATATTTATTATTGTTAAACATGGGAATTTTCAAACATCTGAGAACTCAGCATGTAACTTAATATAACTGCAGCCTCTGCAAAGATATGCTTTAATAGCAAAATTATCTATAGTGATGTTCACTAAGGGTGAAAATTTTATTGTAAAATTAAAAATTTTACATATTTAAAAAATCAACAATGTTAAAAAATAACTATGTAAAGTGGCCAATATTAAAACATTCATAGTAGTGTATAATATAATGATTTTTAATATAATATTATCAAATTAATTTTTTCTCTAATCCATTTGCTTATAAGAAAACACTATCACTATACAAAGATAAAATATTAATACTAATATGCTGTGAGAAATACAGTGCCTAGCAAAGCTTCCACATTATATTGCCATCTGAGCCTATAATCATGAAACTTTCAAATGGGACTGTATATTTTGAAGCTATACAATTTACTCCAAACTGAGAAAGCTAAAAAATGCTGTTATTATGTAAGTAAGTTACATTTTAAAAGAAAATTGGAATATTCTCAACTGCAAAAGTATTAAACCCCTTTGCTACAGCAACCCTAAATCAGTTCAAGTGCAAAAGATGAATTTGAAAGGTAACAAAATTAGTGTAATGGCCTCTGTCTGTGTGTAATCAAAGTGGTTTAACTTGACTTCAAAGTAAATGCATCTGTTCAAGCCCCAACTCATATAGTGATGCAACAAACCAACCATGAAGTCCAAGTAGCTTTCCAATCAAGTCAGGGATATGGTGGTGGAGAAGAACAGGTCAGGAGAAGGTTACAAGAAAATTTCAAAGTTGCTGATTCTACTTTTGAGTACAGTGAAGTCCATCATTTAGAAGTGGAATGTGCTTCATACTACCCAGTCACTACTCAGATTGACCCGGCATGGCCAGGTGGTTAGGGTGCTCGACTCACAATCTGCGGGTCCGTCACACCAAACAAGCTCGACCTTTCAGCCGTGGGGGCATTATAATGTGATGGTCAATCCCACTATTTGCTCTAGTTTTACACTGCTAGATTAGGGACGGCTGGCGCAAATAGCCCTCATGTAGCTTTGCACGAAATTAAAAAAACAAACAAACAAACAAACTACTCAGATCAGGCTGCCCTTCCAAATTAAGCAGTCGGACAAGCAGTAAACTGGTTAGGGATGCCACTGTGAAGCCAACAGTGACTTTGAAAGATTTGCAAAGTTCCATGTCTGAGATGGGAGTCATTGTTCATACATTGACAATATCCTGGTCTCTACAAAAAAACTGGCCTGTAAGGGTGAGTGGCTAGAAAGAAGCCATTACTGGAAAAGAATTATCTTAAATTTCGTATGGAGTTTGCAACAAAGCATGTAAATTATACTGCAGACATGTGGCAGAAGGTTTTGTGGACAGACAAGACAAAAATTGAGCTTTTAGGTCTAAATTCAAAGCGTTATGTCTGGTGCAAGCCCAACATAACACATCACCTAGTCAATATCATCTCAATTGTCAAGCATGGTGGTGGCAGCATTATGTTATGGGAATGCTTCTCATCAGCAGGGATTGGGAGCTTGTCAGGATTGAGGTGAAGATGGATGGTGCAAAGCAGAGGCAAATTCTAGTGGAAAACCTGATTGAGTCACCCAAGAATCTAAAACTGGGACAAAAATTCACATTTAAGCAGGACAATGACCTAAAGCACAAGGCCTAAGCCACACTGGAGTGGTTTCAAAAGAAGAAAATTTGAAAATTGCAGTCCATCAACGATCCCCAACGAACTTGTCAGAATTGGAACAATTTTGCCAGGAAGAATGGGCAAAAATTATACCATCCCATTGTACAAAGCTGGTACAGACCTATCCAAAAAGACTCACAGCAGTAATTGCTGCCAAAGGTGCTTCCACCAAGTACTGACTTAGGGGGATGAATGCTTAAGCAATCAGCATATTTCAATTTATATATTTTCTTTGCAGATTTTGCTGATGTTCAGCTTCCTTCACACAAAACAATGTTAAGTTTGATCATTAGAGTTTTGAATAAAAACAAGTTCATTAAAAACATTGTTTACATTATTTGTATTTCATCAAAATGTGACATTATTGGTAGGGGTGAATACCTTTGCAAGGCACTTTATATGATTTTATCTTTCATGTCTGTAGAGGTAATGAAATATATATGGAACTCATTCACTAGTTAAGGACCTTATCACATTTGAGCAATGAAATTAACAATGTTTCTAAAAATGGAGTCCAAGCGAAAGAAAAATAAACAAACATGATCAATTATAAATTCTATCCTTTGAACCATTCAACTAAATAATATCTCTTAGGCTTTGTTTTTTATACTATTTTATAATTATATGTATGTTCACTTGCAACATGTAACTAAACTTTTAAATTTGATGATAAGGAACCCACTGTTTTAGAAAATAAACATCTGGAGACAGCTTGAATGGGTAATGAAGAAAATTTATTATAAATGTACAACTTTTCAACAAAATTATGTCATCATTTGCTACCCATGATGACATAATTTTGTTTAAACGTTGTACATTTATAATATAATTTTCTTCATTACCCATTCAAGTCATCTCCAAACTTTTATTAACACAACTTTTGCTCCCTTATGAAATAAGTAACTCTAGTGATTGAACCATACATTGCAGAGACAAAATTGGATGTAGGGACAAATTTAGAAGTGATCTACTAGAACTGAAACATAGTTTTCTTTAACACAGCTGGAAGACACTCCATCCATGTTATCTAGTGATACATTATGCCATTCAGCAGGTTGACCACCTATGTAAAAAAAAAATACTTTGGTTAAGCTATGCTATTAGCAATCATCACAAACAAACAGGAGTCACAATTTAAGAAACAAGTAAATATTTCTGAATGAAACTTTTAGTAAACGTTTTCATAACTTTGACAGAAATATATCATTTATTTAGAATTAAAATTACAGTCTAAGATAGAGAAAGAGGATTAAGAAATATAAATATTGTTCTAACAGTTTCTATTGTTAGACTGGTTCTTTTCTGTTATTCACTTAATGAAAGTGTTGTATTTCTTTGAATACAAGTTCCATGATTTTACTTTTATATTAATAACCTAATGTTCCTGAAGGGAAAGGCCTAACTGACTGATTCCACTTACCTGCTTCTTTTCTCTTACATACAGTACTTCTTGTATATCTATTACTCTGTAGCAAACACAACTCAAAATTTACAAAAATTTAACTAGATAATTGTCACAAAGTAATTTTATACATAATTTACATGCTTACTCAATGGCTAACAAACTCTCTCTCAATAATTCACTGGCCTTACTAACTAACTCAATAGTACAATACTTAAGATTCAATGTAACTTAGTAATAGACACCAAAATCAATTTTCATCTACTCTTGCCATTTCATACTGCTCAAACAGTTCTGAAATTTAGAATAAAATTTTAAAGTTAAGCCACACCCATTATGCTATGTCAAACCACCCCCTGGTTAAGCAACATTATAAACATCTACAAATGTCTAGATTACAAATGTAACCTACAATAATATCATAAACTAAACCTTTCTATAACTTACTATAAAAACATTGCCATATTATGTCAGTTTTTTAAGCATTACAATTTCTGTACTTGGTTATAAGATCTCGATGAACAAGATATGCCCAACCTAGAACTCATTAAACTTGCTATTAGAGATAGTTTTAGTGTTGGATAGCTAAGCTCAGGACTAGTTTGTTTAACATTTTGCACCTAGTCTGCTTGTTGGATAATTTCCTTTTCTCAATAGGCCAAGGCCCAGCATGGCTAGGTGGTTAGGGCGCTCGACTCGCAATCTGAGGGTCACGGGTTCGAATCCCTGTCCCACCAAACATGCTCACCCTTTCAGCCATGGGGGCATTATAATGTGATGTTAAATCTCACTATTCGTTGGTAAAAGAGTAGCCCAAGCATTGGCGGTGGGTGGTGATGACTAGCTGCCTTCTCTCTCTAGTCTTACACTGCTAAAGTAGGGATGGCCAGTGCAGGTAGCCCTCGTATAGCTTTGCATGAATTTCAAAACAAACAAACTTAATAGGCTGTATAGCGTAAGTGTAGATGACAGAAAAGTTCAGAAATTTTAGATTTCTTTCTCTGTTAATGAGGCTTGCCTGATGACATAATGGCAGTTCTTATAAACTACTGTATTTTATATAATCTCAAGAAAGTTAGTTCTCTCGCTTGCTTCTCTTTTTGATCTATTACATAAAGTAACATTGCTACAAGTGGATTCCTGGTCTAGATGTTGTCCAGTAGCTAATACTTGATTATTTGTCCAATTAGAGGTCATAGGGGATAATTTTTACAGACTACATTATACTAAATTGTTGTATAAAGTGTATTTGGTTCTAAGTGAAACATGTTTTAGGAGCTTGTTCTTTTGGAGGAGAATGGCTTACTGCATTTGTTGCATACAAATTCTTTAAGCCTTCTGTTTTGCAGTGTTAGTAGTGTACCAGCTGGGTGTAGTTTCATATGTGAATACCACAATAGTACTCATACAGAAATAACTTTCTCAAACAATATGCAGCCTAAACTAGAAAAATAAACTTCTGGAAACATTAAGGCTTAATCAACTTAGTCCATGTCTAGCAGAAACAAACCTAGATCCCAAATGGTGAAAAGGGTGTTTGTTTATAATTCATAGTGTCCAAGGCAGTATCTAATAGAAACAAACTTAGATCTCACTTCTGAACATTTTTGTCCATGGTCAATAGTTGAGATGGTTTGATTTTCATCTAGAAACATAGACTATTGCATTCAGTTTGAATAAGTTTCATTTGTATCTTGGAATTTAGAATGTTTCATTCATCTGAGGTAGATAGATTTGTGTCTTCTCATCTAAAATGTTTTATTCATTTGAAGTGGGTAGACTAATAGTTTGTGATATAGAAACTTTTTGCCAAATGATGCATTCCAATTGCCATATGAGTCTTACTTTGGCAGAGATTTGATGCAATACATTGCTAACATCATTATTTGATACATTACAAATTTTCTTGAATTGTCTGCATACACATACATATTTGTTGATAAGAAATGGCTGAATACTGACTCTTCTAACCAGTTCACCTTTTACGACCTGTTTGTGGTCATTCCATCACTGAATGCAAAAGCTTGCAGTTTTTATAGTAATGAATGGATTGTATAATGTTTTTGGACTATTTATCTCAGATGAATAACTTTGTATTGTATATTTTTCTCTGATATTGATCAGTAACATTCAATATTGAACATTGAGTATGTTATTTCAGGTGCAGTTGTCTTCAGATTGACTTTCACAAGACTGTTTGATGTTTTGCTGTCACTAATGCTCTAGCACTCAAGGACATAGAAGTTACTATCAATGCTGACAACGCTTTGCTCTTAGAAAACGAAAAAAGTGGGTAATCTTGGCTACATTGGTCTTCACCCCTTTCTCAAATGCTATTAGGTCTCTTCACAAATCAGACAGCTTGCACATAATAATCTGCTTGTTTATAAAAATTGAGCTTAGAAAACTTGCAAGTATTACCATTTTGCATTGCAATTCATGGGCACGACAAAGTATGTACATATATATTTGTACCAAAGTTGACCATTAAATATGCCCAACATAGAACATGATTTTTGAATTACTCTGAACATCTATCTATCTATCTATGAACAAACGTAAAGCTTAAGTATTACTTACTATTTGGTGTTTCACTTGATTTGAGAGCAAAAGACCAACTTTCTGGATTAACTGAGGCACAATGAGGCAATCTCAACTCAACTGGAATGTTGAATTTTAATCCATGAGGGCCACACATGACCAAAGGACTAAGCAACATCTCGCCTGTAAAATTAATTATAACTATAAAGTCATAAAAAGGGAAAAAATAGGAACTTCTTTAATACATAATTTAGCAACAGGTTAGAAGAAAGTTATGATGCACTGTTTTAGCTTCTATTTCATAAAGTTTAACCACTATATAAAATGTATATATCTGAGTAACAACTGAGGCCACACATTTTGTAAGTATCTTTGATCTCATATTCCAGTTTTCATGTGTCTACTGACTAACAGAATGGACTTACTAATTTGAATCAACAGAAGATTGTTAAAGAATTACCAAACCTGTTAGTTTCTTTATGAAAAACTTCCATTAGAAAACAGAGTACACAAAGTTACCTCCTACTGCTGGGTTGCTGTCAAAATATACCTCTAACTACAAGTTGTTGTCAACATATATACCTCTTATAGCAAGTTGTTGCTACAATATGGCTCCTACTGCTGGGTTGTAAAAATATAACTCATATTGTTTGACATTTGTCAAAAAATACCTCTTATAGCAAGTTGTTGCTACAATATACCTCTTACTGCTTGGTTTTATCAAATATACTTTCTATTGCAACTTGCTGTCAACATATACCTCTTATAGCAAGTTGTTGTCAAAATATACCTTTTATTGCTGAGTTGTTGTTGAAATATAACTGCTTGGTTGTTGTCTTCATCTATAAGTTCAGATATCCCTTTTTGTTTATCAAGTGCAAGAGAAATAAACCTTCAGTAACATCTTTCTTTTTGAAATTCTGAACCAAACTATACAACTATAAAATTTCTAAGCTCATTTATTTAGCAAAGATAACAAAGAAATATGGTGTAGTCTCAACAATTTTGAACATTTATTCTAACTCAAAGTAAATAAAATGAAGTTTAAAGAGATACTTATTTGTACTATAATCTAGAATTAATGATTCCAAACTCATGCAAAGAAATATACTTAATTTGCCAACTTCAAAATTATTCAACCCATACAGTTTTCCAAAATAATCTCACATAATTATGGCTGCCTATTGATAAACAAATAAGTATTTATCACTTTGTATTATCTCTACACTGGCCTTTATCTTAATATTTCATTAGATCTTCCCAATCCAATACTGTGTGGAGGAGGGAAGGATGGGTTATGCTAGTGGTAAGTATAATTTTTGAAGTTCATTCTAACCATTAAATATTAACTTAAACACGAAGTCACGGCAGACTAAAAACACAATTGGCATAATCAGCTTGGAGGGCAGGAATAAAAACAGGTTTCAGTATAGTAATTCAAGAATAAACCTAGCACACTGTTATCTGATTTCTGCAATAACTAGAGATTCAAGGACCTAATATGTGGAAGGATAGATGTGGTGATTTTTCATGGTGGCATAAAAAAGTCAGAACTTGTTGTGATGTTTAAATAAAAATGAACACTTTATTTGTTAATAGAAGACCCAGTGATTATACAATTGGAAAGTACTATTGCATTGTGATATGTGAAATTAAAAAAAAGTAAAATAAGTTCTCTTTGAAAATGAAGTAAAGATAACTCAGATGATCAGCAAAAGTAATGGATAAAAGACTAAAATAAACATGAATGAAGCTCTAACAGTAAATCTTGACTCTTTCAAGACAGAAATAAATCTTCTGACTCTGAAAACAAAAAATATTTCTTCAAAGACTGCAAAAACTGTGTTCATAATTCACATTCTCTCTGCAGCTGACTAATTGCAAAGGCAGATCACAAGAATACATAACCATAACCATAAAACCCATAACCTATAATAGTGTATAGTGCCAAGAGGAACCTACAACAGTATATAGTGCCAAGAAGAACCTACAACAGTATATAGTGCCAAAAGGAACCTACAATAGTATATAGTGCCAAGAGGAACCTACAACAGTATATAGTGCCAAGAGGAACCTACAACAGTATATAGTGCCAAGAGGAAACAGTACAAACATCTACATTAAAAACCATAACCTACAACAGTATATAGTGCCAAGAGGAAACAGTACAAACATCTACATTAAAAACCATAACCTAC